TTTCGTTTAAGTTATTTTCAGGAAAAAGTCCTGGCGAGGGGATACTTATGAAGGTGAGGCAGCAGTGCTTACTTGCGCTGAGTTCTTCAGTCTTCACCTCCTCCTCCCCCCCCCAAGCGTGACACCAGCACTCCCTCCAGTTACCTCGGCGCAGTAGTACTAAAAATAAGGTCAGACATGATCAATAAAGTGCTTCTGTGATAAACAATAGTTAACAAGGTGTTCCAACAAAGACTTGACCCGTGTCACTGTATCTGTACGGGACACGCACAGCGACCGTCTCAACTTTAGCTACAAGGTATATGCACAGAAACACTAACTGTATATACACCTAGGTGACCATCTACTATAGTGTATAAATGAAATGCGACCTTAAACGACTCATGCACAGCCTTAAACCTAAGTTAACTAGTGAAGTTGTGAATGGAAAATGGGACCACATTTTATTTTAACAAGTACTGGACCAACTAGTGCTAGACTGCTATATTAGCAACAGCCTGGTTGATCAGGGCCACACCAAAGAAGTTTGGCTTCCGACACAGTCATGGGGCATCCAAGAACGCACCAACTGGAAGGAATATAAAGGAAACTTTGCCTAGAGACATTTCCATCACGGTGGTAATGCGTGCCGCAAGCACCAACAGCCTAACTGAATAGGTGAAACTGGAAACATGGAGTAAGACTTGGGCGCAGGGAAAATGATCTCCGGAGCTCTCAACAGGTAAACAACGTTAAAATTCGCTACACCCCAACCACCAGCCGGAAGTCACGCCGGAAATATACAACCAGCTGCCAATACATTGCGTAGCGATCATGAAACTCAGGGCAGTGCCATGTTAAGGATATCTGGGGCAGTGCCACGGGCAGGATGTTCGGGGGCAGTGCCACGTGTAGGATATCAGGGGAAGTGCCACGAACAGGAAAATTTTAAGTACAGGAAACGTTGGGGAGTGCCACCTATAGAAGCATGGAGGTGCCATATACAGCACATGAAGTGCTACATACAGAACATGTGCCACGTACAGTACACGGAGTACCATGTACAGCATATGAAGTGCCACGTACAGTACACGGAGTACCATGTACAGCATATGAAGTGCCACGTACGGCCCATTTGCTTATGTAGGCTTATGTATCATTCTTTGTAGACGATACCACAACATTAGCCACAGCTATTTATCATCTTTTGTAAACAATAGCACAATGCTAGCCACAAATATTCATCATCTTTGTAGACTGTACCACAACAATAGTCACAGCTATGTATCATCCTTGGTAAATGTTACTAAAGTAAGCCTGAAAGTCACCTGGGTAGAAGACAGAAAAGCCTGGTCTCTGACCGAGCTGCCAGGGTATATACGGTCACAGGTATATTACATGTGTCATCACTTGCAACACCAGAGACACTTGGTCTCCCCATCTACCTGAGCTCCAACCATCTTCCTTCCCCACACCCTCACGCCCCATCCCGTCTTCCCCAGTCCCACCCTCCCTCCCACCCTTTCCACCTTCCCTCCAATCCCTTCCACCCTCCCTAAACCTCCATCCCCTCCCACCACAGGATAATCACCATCGACGTATGGCGGGCGGAGTGCATTAGCCACTGATACATTTCCTCCCCCCCCTACGACCCTCCAACCCAGACCCTCCACCAACTACCCTTCATCCCACGAACTTCCACCACTACCCTCCATCCCACGAATCTCCACCACAGACCCTCCACCAACAACCCTCCATCTCACGACCCTCTGACCCACGACCTTATGTATACCTTGTACTGATTCTATGTCATTACAGAAGGCTCTTGACTCGCATTATAACTTAACATGCTCATTGAAGAAGCCAGATATAGATATTAAAATATCTGGGAAAAAGGAGTTAATGTATACTTGCTATGGATTCCATCACACATTGGATTATTCTTTCAGGAAAAATGTAGATACGTTTAGCAATAAACAAGTAACCGGAGAGTAAATGTAGAATATAACTTCGAGGTGTCTGTGTCTAGCATTATGAAAAATATTAGGAGGAGAAGACAAGAGGAGGAGAGAAGGCATGAGAGGCAGGAGGGGAAGGCTAGACAGGGAGGTGAAGGCTAGACAGGGAGGGGGTGAAGGCTAGACAGGGAGGGGGTGAAGGCTAGACAGGGAGAGGGTGAAGGCTAGACAGGGGGGGGGTGAAGGCTAGACAGGAGGGGTGAAGGCTAGACAAAGGAGACAGGAGGGGGTGAAGGCTAGACAGGGAGGGGGTGAAGGCTAGACAGGGAGGGGGGTGAAGGCTAGACAGGGAGAGGGTGAAGGCTAGACAGGGAGGGGTGAAGGCTAGACAGGGAGGGGTGAAGGCTAGACAGGGAGGGTGAAGGCTAGACAGGGAGGGGTGAAGGCTGGATAGGAAGGGGGTGAAGGCTAGACAGGGAGGGGGTGAAGGCTAGACGGAGGGGGTGAAGGCTAGACAGGGAGGGGGTGAAGGCTAGACAGGGAGGGGGTGAAGGCTAGAGAGGGAGGGGGGTGAAGGGTAGATAGGGAAGGGTTGAAGGCTAGAGAGGGAGGGAGGTGAAGGCTAGAGAGGGAGGGGGTGAAGGCTAGAGAGGGAGGCGGGAGTTGAGAGTATAATGAGATGGTCTGACCCCGGGAACACTGTTACAGTGACATACAGAAAGTGAGACCCCCTATTATTCCCTGCATCCACCATCACTCCATATATCCAACACCCCATATATCCACCATTTCATGTATCAAACCATCACTCTCCATATATCCACCCCCCATGTATCGACCATTCCATGTATCCACCATCACCCCATATATCCAACACCCCATATATCCACCATTTCATTCATCAGCCATCACTCCATATATCCAACACCCCATGTATCGACCATTCCATGTATCCACCATCACCCCATATATCCAACACCCCATATATCCACCATTTCATTCATCAGCCATCACTCCATATATCCAACACCCCATGTATCGACCATTCCATGTATCCACCATCACCCCATATATCCAACACCCCATATATCCACCATTTCATGTATCAACCATCACTCCATATATCCAACACCCCATGTATCGACCATTCCATGTATCCACCATCACCCCATATATCCAACACCCCATATATCCACCATTTCATGTATCAACCATCATTCCATATATCCAACATCCCATATATCCACCATCATTCCATATATCCAACACCCTATGTATCCACCACCAGCCCTTATGTGGAGTTTATCTGGAGAGAGTTCCGGGGGTCAACGCCCCCGCGGCCCGGTCTGTGACCAGGCCTCCTTAGGTCAGTGTCCCAGGATGCGACCCACACCAGTCGACTAACACCCAGGTACCCATTTTACTGATGGGGAACATAGACAACAGGTGGAAAGAAACACGTCCAATGTTTCTACTCTGGCTGGGAATCGAACCCAGGCCCTCACCGTGTGAAGCGAGAGCGTTAACCACCAGGCCACCAGAGCCCTGTATCCATCAACACCCTATGCATCCATGTATACACCATCCCATGTGAACCATCACCCCATGTATCTTCCAACACCTTGTATCCAACCCAACAATCATAGTTATCTATGACTCACGAAATCGTAATGACACGATTGCAAACAAACCATACCCCGGCCGGGATTGAACCCGCTAACGCGATGGTCTGGAGTTTTG